GCAGCGTGTCCAGACGCTGCGGCGGGAGGTTGTCCTCGGAGCGCCGGCTTTGCGGAGGGCCAGTGGCTCTGAGGATGCCCTCGGGAGGAGTTAGGGGCGCTGAGCATGCGGCTGCCCCTCCCCTTCCTTGCCCCAGGACGGCTTTTTAAGCCGTCTGCCGAGGCCCTAAGTCCCAGGATTCCAAAGAATGGAGCCATGACAGTTAAAGTGGAACCATAGTACTATAAATGTGTAGCATGAAAGGGCCCCTCCATTGAATATGGGGGGTTCTAGATGGCCTATAAGATTCTTTCCAACTTTATAGTTCTATGAGTTCTAGAGTCTCTTCTCCCTGCTGTCTTGTTACATGAAATGGCAGAATTATGGTAAGTGCTGGATATGTTTAAGAGAAAACATCTGGCCATGAGATTAAGATGTCCAAGCAGTTATCATTTAAGGAACCTTTATACAGGAACCTCAACTTTTATTATTGCTGAATGGGCAAAGAAAAATCCTCTCATATGCCCTTTGTTCTAATGATGGAAAACGTATTGCATATTTTCAGCTACAAACCCCTCTTGAAAAGACAGAATATTTTCCAAACCAAAGTGTTGTTGTTGTCATTTTTAATCCTTTGGAATCTGGTTGTTGGTTGATTCTGTGAAATGTATTGTAGACACAAGATCTATTTTCCTTGAAAACATTAGTCATGGTGTTTATTAAGCTGAAGACCTGTTTAACAATTTTATTTGGCTTTCATCTACAGTGGCTCTTAATAAAGAATTATCTAAACTGACTTTAAAATTACCTATTCTGTAAAATTGCCTCATTTGTAATTAAAATGCCCATGCAAGTTTAGGCTAGCTTGACTGTTGTTGTACATAAAACTATACTTTAAACCTTGAGCTTTGGCTGATTTACAGGTGTCAGCACAAAAAAACCTCCAAAAATACCACACAAATATATTTAGCTGTACATTCTTTTAACTTGTGTCTCTGTGCACATTTTTCTTTTAATCAGAAATGGCAGAGGTCAAGGAAAGAAAATAAAAAAATAAAAATTGGACAGAGACAGCCCATCTTTTTTTTGGTGCTTGAGGCAGATGGTCCAAATAGGAAACCTCAATGGTAGTAAAAAGTAAACTGTAATTAACTCAATAATTGATAATATATGCCTCTTTCATACATCAATAATTTGTCAGTTCAGGTTGCAGACACAGGAGGCTTTCGTCCTCCTCCTGTCATTAAATTCTGTTTAAATCATTGTAATAGTACGATCGGAGTTCCGTTATTGCCAAATGGTGGCTCAATGAAGCTTTACTGATGGGACAAGTCCGCTGGTAAGTCTCAATTATGCTTTAATTATGGGAGAAGGATGGGAGAAAAATGTCGGATACGTGAACCCCAATCGCACTATTATGATAATTTAAATGCGATTTAATGATGGGAGGAGGATGAAAGCCTCCCATGTGATAATCTCCTAAAACATTGTTTTGACTGGTGTGGACCAAAAAGAAATGCTGAAGCTGTGTGGAAAGCCCAGAACAGAAAGGTTTATCTCACTGTTGAAGCAATGCAGGCCTATTGCTGAACTGGCAAGACAGATTACTAAATGGTTACACATTGAATCCATTTTTTTAATTATGCCACCCCCTTAAGTAGCTAGAAACCTTCCCACTCATCATTTATGCCAGGGGTAGGCAACCTTTCCCCTTTAAGGGCCGAGGGACTTCAGCTCCCAGAATCCCAGGAGCTATTGGCCAACAGGGGACTATTGGCCAACATGGCTGAGGCTTCTGGGAGCTGAAGTCCCTCGGCCCTTGAAGGGAAAAGGTTGCCTACCCCTGACTTATGTCATGAAAGCTCCTGTTGTGGTTAATGACACATCTGCATAATCACTGGAACTCATCAGGATGTTGCTATTACCAAAGTACTTTCGGTGTTTGCCTTCAGACCTGATTTAAATAGGTATGCTACTGTTTTAAATATTGGTTACACTATCTAATTGTAGAAACTGCCCTGGAGCCTGATGTTAACAAGTAGGTGCACACTAATAATGGAAGCCAAGGGAAGGGACAGGTGAGGAATCATATGCAATGGTGAATGTGTTGTTAAATGGTAAACAGTACTGTTGGAATTTAGGAGCCAATAAAAAACAAACAAGGGTTGCCAGAGTGAAAAGTGGAGTAGTTACTGTACCTTTAATAGTAGTAAAGAAGAGAGAATTTAGGCAAGTGTTGATTTCATGCAACACTTGCTGAAATTCCCTCTTCTCCACAAAGATATGTTTCCAGTTGTCACTCTGGCAACCCTAGACCAAACCCCAAGTGGGAACTACTCAATGGGAGAAATGTAGAATTATCACTGTTTGCCTGTGTCAATGTATAAATAAGACCCCAGCGGTGTCTGTCAAGCCATAGGCCAAGAGAAAGAAATGGGGTGTGATCACTAGCTTAAGGTCTGCAGGATTCAGCTCAGAAGAAATATGAAGATCTTTACAACTGACCCCATTAAATTCTACAATTCATTACCAGATGGATATTGAACACTAGATGAATCTTTACTTGGCAGCTAAGCGTTAGTGGAAGCATAGCACCAAAATAGCCCCCATTTTTAATTGACAAAGGCCCAGTTTCATCTAGGTTGCTAGAATGAAAACTGGAGACTGCTCTAATTATTGTGCAGAAGAAGCAATTTCGGCAGATGTTGCTTGCCACACAACCTGGTAACAAGCAACTTGGTGAAAGTCTCTCTTCTACACAATCATTAAAGGTACATGGACTGTCTCCAGTTTCCACTCTGGCTTCCTCAGAGCATCACAGGGCCAGTACAGAACATACCTTTTCCGCGTGGACAAATTTATCATTTTCAGTAATTTGGTTTATTTCATTTCCCATCCTGGAAGCCCATCCTGGGTGATCCTGACACATCATTACTTCTGCAGTGTATCTGAGGGACACTAGAAAGCACATTTCAAACACATTTTTCATGTGTTGAACATTTGAAACATCCATCTTAATATCCACATACTGAAATACTAGACAAAAAGTAAAAGGGAACAGGGGTCTATAGAAAAGTTAGTTTTGCCAAAATTAGAAGTGAACAGAACATGACAAAATGCAGATGGGTTGATCTCCAACTATAAAGGGAATTGCAGAAGGATTTTCCTCTTCTACCATGATTTTTAAAAATGCTATGAACCTTCAATAAAACGCAGTGGTTAGGAATTCTGTTTTTAATGGAAAGCTGTGATGTAACTCCAGATGTAGGGCATAATGAAAATAGTTATGACTTCGGCTCACTCACACATACTGCATGGAGCCAACAGATCTGAACCTTTAGAAAATGCTGGGATAAGATTGCAAAATATACAGGCAATGACCTCCTAAAGCATGAGACCAACTTCAACTATGGTTGGTGTGATGACAGGTTACCATTGCACATCAAGACCTTGAATGTAAACAAGAACAGTAGTTAATCTGTGGCTAAATTAAGTTTGTTTGACTATTTTAATACTGTTGAATGTTATTATAAAAATCATATAGAGTAATCACAAGGAAATGAACAGGCAAACAAACAGGAGTTTGTTAAATCAGTATTATTTTTGGGGGGGGGGAGCTGGGAAGGTTCAAGACTCCTGTTAAAGAGCTTAAAATTCCAGGGGGAAGGAGATCTTACCACAGTTAGAAAACCATCACATGATAAGCATATAAAAGCAGCAACACCCCCCCCCCCAGGTTCTTGGCGCTATTTATTTATTAAATATATATTTCACCTTTTCACTGAAAATAGTGCTCAAGACAGCTAACACTAAAATACAGATAAAGCATCAAAGTTATAATTGAAACAGAAAATTCACTTCTTGGTTGTGCGCCTCCAAGTCACTGCTAGCTTATGGCAACCCTATGATAGGATTTAGTTGGCAAAATATATTCAGAAGGGGTTTGCCATTGTCTTCCTTCAAGGCTGAGAGAGTATGACTTGCACACAGTCACACAGTGGCTTTCCAAGGTCAAGTGGGGATTTGAACCCTGGTCCCCTGGAGTTCTAGTCCAGCACTCAAACCATTACACCACATTGGCTCCCCTGCCATGGAGACACATAAATGGAACTATTGAACCATGATTTTGACAATACTGCAGAGTTTTCTTTCAGACTGAGCCTATTGTACTTGGATGCAAATTCTAGTTCGGACTATTAATTTGTAACCATGTTGGTATTTATTTATTTATTCATGGATTTGTCATCTTTCAATGATTGGCATGCTTTTTTAAAGAGTTACTTTGTTATTTTACCTGAATCTATTTTGCAAAAAGGATGTGTGTGTGTATGAAAAAATGCTTAAATTAATATGAATAATCTAGAAGATATACTGTAATTCTGTCTAATAATGCATTTAATTGACCAACATAAAACAGAAGAGACAGGGACAGATGCTGGCGAAATGTCAGAAAGAAACTCTTCTAGAACATGGCCACACAGTCCGAAAAACCCACAAAAAACTATGGATGTCAGCCATGAAAGCCTACAACTCCCCTTTGCTGTTTGCAAGAGGGCAGAAGCAAGAAAGCACCACCTTCAGTCTTTTATGGCACTGCGCTCCACTTCCAGCATAAGTTCCTCGGAAACAGCAGGAATAGCCAAACAGTCAGGAAGCTGGTTGGCCAACCAGAGTTGGAAGACCCAAGCACTGATGCCAAAAGTGGGAGTCTCTACTCTGGTCCATTTAGGGAGCATATAAATGCTCCCTGGTGGAGGCACACATGTGACTCTTCCTTTGGCATCCTTCCTTACCCTCCTTCCCTCAACGTGAGATATACGTATGGGTTCCAGCATGGTCACAGTGGGATCAGATGGTAATCAGATTTTGTTATGTCAGTGTTTTATATTTGTCACATCAAGGTGACGATTGGAACATTAGGCTGGATCTCTGGGGAGGGGAAGTGGGGCCTGCATGTCTGTTTCTCCATTTGGGGGATCCCTTTGGGGATCTCGGAGGCCAGGGCAATCTGGGCAGACTTAGCTTGGGGTCTATCACTACTGCCTTATGCCCAGATGGCATTGGGAAGCACACACTGGCATCTCCCAAAACAAATCCTGGTAACTGCCATCTCATGGATTTTCCCTCAGCAGGCAGGACAGAGAGCAAGTTGACTGATGTCTGGATCCATATTTGATATTGTCCAACTACTCTAATACCTCTAACCAAAAAAGGTGTGGCACTTTCAACTCTGATATTTTCTCCTATGTGTGTTTAGCTGGGGTCCTGTTACCCAAGCCTTCCTCATTATCACTAGCCTAACAACCGGGAATAGGGAGCCTCATTCTCACTACAGAATGACCAGTTTTTGAGTTGAATCAATGAAGCAATTTAGCGCCGAATAGATGTTCACACTATTCGAGCAGCGATCAAACCTAACCCGTTTCAGTTTAATCCACTTTGTGTTCACATTAATCAATAATCGATTCAACATGGAATCGCATCACAGGGCCAGAGGGAATTGATCCAGATCTGCAGCACATTCACACTAGCACTGAATTGATTCATTTCAAAAGAAGCAGGGAATTCAGTGGATCTGGAAGAAACACTTTAAATAGGTTTAGCACTATCCCCCTTCACAAACCGTGTCAGGGAATTGGTTCAAGTGCGAACAAGGGCCATTTAAACCGATTCAGATACGCTTCCAAACCAGTTTATTATCTAGTGGGAATATAACCTCTGATGATCAACATTAGTTCACAAAACAGCAGCTTCACAGTGCATTGATTTCAATGTAGATCACATCCTGTCTCCAAGCTCAGAAATGGGAGCAAGCTGAAAGCACACATAGACACAGAAAACATACAAAATGCAGGATTTATTTCAGTATTTTCAATTATTATACTTTAAACCACTAAATGCTACTCAAATGTAGCAGTGATTATCAAAATATGGATGACTGAAGGATATATGTAGTACTGTTTTCTGGGTATTTGAGACTTTTTGACACAGAAATATACTGCCTCGGTGTGTTTAAACACTCAAAGATGGGGAGACTCCCTCTAACTGTCTATACCCGGGGTAGGCAACCTTTCCCCTTTAAGGGCCGAGGGACTTCAGCTCCCAGAAGCCTCAGCCATGTTGGCCAATAGTCCCATGTTGGCCAATAGCTCCTGGGATTCTGGGAACTGAAGTCCCTTGGCCCTTAATGGGGAAAGGTTGCCTACCCCTGGCCTATACCATATTTTCACAGGATGTGAAGCAGCGCTTACCAATGACCCAGCATTGCCCAGTGAGACTGCAGTGATGGATCTGGCACTCATGTAGGTGGAAGCTGTTAAGCAAGCTTCAAATTATAATTTATGGGCACATTTTTCTACCTGTGTCAGCAGTACTCTTGAGTGATGCTGGTTTCCCCCACTCCTTTTTTTAAAAAAAAACAATACATGTAAAAACTGGTATTTATCTTACCACTGATGTCTGTGTGTCTGCATAGGCGTACTGGTTCTGCGCCAATTCCTAAACAGGTGTTATGGAGTCAGCTGGATAAAACAAATCAGTCTCCCTAGCTAGTACAACTGGTAGTTATGCTGTGACAACATGCTCCTGTTTAATTTATGCTAACTTTTATCTGCTGATGCAAATACCGGTACCTTGCTTTAATGAAGCAGTCAGCACAGGGCAAAATTATCTGTGTCTTCTTGGAAGGCTAAAAGATGTTTGGTGCAATGGATAGGTCTTGGCAAGTCACTACCTTCAGTTAGTTATTGTGAAAAGATAAATAAATACTGCAGAGTTTGGAAATTTTACTTTTTTGGACTGCAGCTAATTGCCCACCCAGTAACTTTTCTAGGCTGAGAAGTATTACACATCAGTTTGTATAATGAAAAATGAAATGAACCACAGAGAGTAACAACTGCAATTGCACACTTGATGTATCCCACAGTATTCTTAATTGTTGTAAAAGAAGTTAAATGGGGAAAATAGGTCATCTCAGAAATAACAATGTTACACAAATCTGTGTCCTCCTTTGTCATCTTCTTAAGTGATGCATTCCCTTTATTGGTTGTAACTGACAATCTTATTGAGGAAAATTTGGTGAGGATTTCAAAAGGAAAGCAGGCATCTGACAAGGACTGTTAAGCTAAAACACTTACATTTTAACAAATTCATATTTTTTCTGATACATTGTCTATCATTGTTTTGCCTTCCAAAGAATCCTGGAAATTATAGATTGGTGGCTATACAGAAAAGAATTCAGTCAGAGCTCTGTAAGGCACCAAATCCCATCTGATCTTGGAACCTAAGCAGTGTCAGCTTGGTTAGTACTTGGATGGGAGACCCTGCCAATGAATAGCAGGTGCTGTAGACTATATTTCAGAGATAAGAACTGGCAAAACCACCTCTGAGTATTCCTTGCCTAAGAAAACCATATGAAATTCAGGGGGTTGGCATAAGTAGACAGATGCCTTGAAGGCACATACACACACAATCTCTTTTTGGCAAGCCAAAGAGAGGAAATGACTTTTAAAGCCATTCACAGTAAGGCTATATACCCTTCATGTTCTTTTAATTCTATGGATGACTCAAGTCTGAGCCAAAAGCAGAAACAAAAGAAACATATCTGTATAAGAAGAAGGGGAGCTGGATATCCCCTTTACCCAAAGAGACAAGTGGAACACAACAATGTTCTCTGGAAGATACTACAAAGTGTTGTAACTCAAACTGCCACAGATACAGTAACTATGATTTATCTTTTATATTATTTAGATAGGATACAAAAATAAAAAATACTTCTGCCAGTACCAGCAGGAAGACAATGGCAAATTTCTATTCCATTTTCTTTACCCAAATACCACAAGAAATCTGTGCTTTGTAATTTTAGTTTATTGCTTATTTCTGCCCTATCCTTGTCTTCCCTTAATTAGACAGCACTGCTACAATGCTCTCAGCACTAACATTAGTTTTTTAAAAATCAGGTTTCTCAGTTGCATGGAGAGCCTCCACTTACAATGAAAGCTTTCCTGTTCAAACTTGTTACTCTTCACTTAAGAGAGCAGCAGAACTAAAGACAGGAGCTGGTTGACAGGCTCCCCTCTTTGTGTGTTGGTTCAGTATGCTTTGTAAACAACTGAACAGGGGGGTGATGTTTGTGTCTGAGCAAGTTTCTTGATGAGATTGATGGATTCCCATTTTATAAGCAGGGCTGCCCAGAGTCCAAGCTCACTTCTCACCTGTGAGTGAAAGGAGAACTTCTGACAGAGTGGATGGAGCCAGTGGAGACAATCCTTTATGGACGTCAGCAGAGGTGTGCTTGTGTGTGTGAATGTGAGACAGAGAATGTGGTTGAGGTGATTTCAGGCTCTGCCAGAGGTTGGAGTCAAGAAGTGGTGTGACTGGGACTAAATGTTCAGAAGGTGGTGGATGTCACCTTCCAGATACAGAGTGAAAGTGATGAACTGATGGATATTCGTGGGTGGAAACAGTTGGATGTTGGCAGATGGAAGCTTGGGGATGAAGTCATCAGACAGAAACTGGTGGATGTGTCTAGGATGAAGCTGGTGGATGGTAGCAAACAAGCTGGACCACTTTATTTGTGCTTCCCTTCTAGGGAGGAGATTTATCTGAAGGCATGATGGTCAAACCACTTCTAAAGCATCCATCTTGTTGAAGCAAAGTAGCTCTGGCATTGCTCAGTTTCTGGGTGTGAGACCATCAGATTCCCTGATGTTCAAAGAGAGAGTGTGCAGCATGCTAAATAAATACATCTAAAGCCATATTAATGGTTATCCGTTACTTATGTAACATTCTTTTACAAAACAAATAAAAATAAACTAATTTTTAAAATGCAGTACTGTATTTATTTAGCAACAGCAGTGCCATCATTCTGCTTAGGGTAGTAGTGAAATACCTGCCCTAAGAAAGCTACAATCTAAAATTCAACAGGAGGGGGGAAATGCTGGGAGGGCAGAGTCATGAAGATAGGGAGGAACAGAGAAATATTACCTTATTAAAGATAACTGATGGTACTTGCTTGAATAGCATTTTTTGAAAACCAGTTTAAAAGATCAATTGTTTTCAAAAGTTTGTTATTCTTGTTTC